AATATAGTGCTTCTTTGACTTTTTTTTTTTTTTTCTGTTTCTGGCATTCTACCTTCAACTTGATGATTATTTCCACTGTGAGTTTTATATTTGAGTCACTGAAGTTTTCATTTCAAACATTTCTTTTAACAATACATATTTAAATTAACTCTTTGAGAATTTCATGTACACATACAATGTATTTTGATCATCTTTACCCTACTCTTTCTAATGCATCTACTTTGAGATGTATTCTCTCACTCCCAGCTTCCTCCCTACTTCATGCTCTGTTTTTAATGGCCTCCAAGTCTTTGTGCTATCCATATACTCCTGCATGTGAGGGCGTCTATTGGAGCCTAGTTGAGTTATCAGCGGCCATACGTTAACACAAATGAACTCTCTCCCAACTTCAGACACCATCCACTGTCAGTACTCCCTCAGCTAGGGATGGGGGCTCACGACCCCTTTTACCCCCTTCATCACCTAGTTTTTTCTTATGCACGTATTTGCTATTGTGAGTTCATGAGTGATCTGATCTGTCATGTCCAGAAGACACTGTCCTCACTGGCTTCTGGCTCTTGTAGTCTTTCTGCCTCCTGTTCCATGATAGCCCTGAGCCTTATGGGACAAAGTGTAATAGAGCTGTACCATTTATGTCTGAGCATGCCACAGACACTTACCCTCTGCACTTTGGTAAGTTGTGAGTTTCTGCATTAACCACTACCCACTGCACAAAGAAGCTTCTCTGATGAATGAATTCTGAGAACAGCCTGGTCTATGGTATAAAGATGGAAATTTAGGATGCAGTTTGATTCTGTGTTCATTTAACAAAATAATAGTAATAGTCTCACCTCTGGGGACTATGAATTTCCTAGCCATGAGTCCTTGACCAGATTTATTGTACCAGACATGAATTTCCCCCTGTGGAATTTCCTCCTCCTGATTGGCCTTAAATCCAATTAGAAAGTAATTGGCTACTCCCATATCTTGCCATGTCAGTCATTATTGTAACTCACCGGGTTCTGTAGAAGGAATTTCTTGTGTCTGTATGGAAGCATCACCTATCAATAAGAAGCTAATGGCCTATACCTGAGGCAGGAAGTAGGAGATGGGACACTCAACCAGCCAGGTGTAGGAGATTCAGTCAACAAGTTGTGAGGAGGACAGATGTATGGTACCTGAGCAGAGGTAACCAGCCACATGGCAAAATGTAGATTAGTGTAATGGGTTATTTTAAGTTATGAGCTAGTCAGAGAAGAGCCTAGCTAAATGGCCTAAGTATTTATAAAATTATTATGAGCCTCATGCATCATTGTTCTGTGAGACTGGGGCAGGGAGGAGAAACCATAACCAGGTTCACAGCTTGGTAAGGTTGTTGCTCATGGTCAGTACAAACTTGATTTCTCCATGTCCTGTGACCAAACTATGTAATGTCTATAGCTGAAGGGTCTTACCATAAAGCTCTTGTGAGAAATCAACAGCAATGACAATTCCTTGTACTGCTTCAGGAGACTTAGGACACTTCCAACCAGTAACTCGAGAGGGGTATCTCATACCTAGCACTGGATGTTTTACATGTTACCCTCTGTGTTAAGTAGCTTCAATTTGTGCGTGTGTGTGTGTGTGTGTGTACATACATGGCCTACATAACAGTAGTTTCCATATGGCTTTTTCAATAATCTTTAATGTTAGCTATTTTTCTCCAACACCTTCCTCTCCCTTATTCGCTCATTCCTCTCCCCCATTTAAACTTATCTCCCCATCACTATTCCCCTTTTCCCCTTCATATCACTGTATTCTGTATTCACACACACCCCTCTCCACACTAACTCCACACCAATGGTCTCTTGTCTTGTTTCCTGGCTTCTAAAGGTACTCAAAATAAAAATGCTCATTTTTAAGAATTCAATGCTAAGATCCACAAATAAGTTAGAAGATACAGGGCTTTTCTTTCTGGGTTTGGGCTACCTTACTCAGCACAATGTTTGCCAGTTCCATCCTACAACTTTCTTAAATTTACACACAGCTTTCTTAATTTTATTTTCTTTATAACTGAATAAAACTTCATGTATAGGCATTGTGGTGATTTGAATGAGAAATGTCCCCCATAGTCTCATTATTTGAACACTTGCTCCCAAGTTGGTGGTGCAGTTTGGGAAGATTATGGAACTTTTAGGAAGTGGTGCATTGGTGGAGAAAGTGTGTCACTGGAGGGCATCTTTGAAGCTTTGTAGTCTTGATCTTCTTCCTCATCTTTCTTTGACTCTTGGGTGAGACATGTGACTAGCGAGGTATTTATTACTGTGGCTATGCCTCCCCGCCTCAATGGATTCTATCCTTCTGGAACCCTTTCTTCCTTAAGTTGTTTTTGTCAAGAATATTCCATCTCGGCAGCAGAGACGTAACTGATATGGGTTCCACATTTTTACTAGCCCAGTCATCAGTTGGTGGACACCTAGGCTGTTTCCACATCTTTGCTGTTGTGAGTAGAGCAGTGGTGAACATGAATGAGTGCCGAGCTCTGTAGTAGCAAGTAGGATTCTTTGCTACATGGCCAGGAGTGGTGTTATACAGTGGATCTCTAGCTAGATGTTTAGAAGCCACCACACTGATTTTCACAGAGGTTGTACCACTAGTGGATCTCAACAACAATGCATGAGGCTCTTTTTCCTTATATTCCCAATAGCATCTTCGTCATTTGTTTTCTTAATCTTAGCTATTCTGACTTGGATCAAATGCATTTCCAAGTTTTCTACTGGCCTTTTGGCTAACCATCACTGAGTTTCTTAGTCAGTGTCAAGTTTCTCATCCCTGGTGCCGGTTCCCATCTATGCTTCTCCTTTTTCTCTGGGCCTTGAATTGATTTTTCTCATATAACTAATCTGATGGTTTGCATCCACTTTGCAGTCACTGATAGGTCATATAAGTTCTGAGTCTGTTATCCAATGTGTTACCCATTTCAGTGTCTTTGTCTTTTCTAATTATGATCTTTTAGAAGAGTAAATCTGCCTTGGTTTTACATGCTTTTTGTCTTTTCTGTGTTATGGTCTATGCATATTTTGGGATGGATATCTTTTCTGGCTTTGTGAGTCTTCTTAGTGAGCAGTCTTCCCTTGAGGATCCAATATCTGGTACCATTCAACATGAAGACAATAAGCTGTCATAAAAGCAGTAATACCAGAGAATATCAGATATAGAAATATACTTAAATCCAAAGGTTAAACCAACAATAGAAAAGCAAACAGCAAAACTAATGAAAAGCTTTATTCTGTTGAACTGGTGCTGCACCTAGCAAGGTCAAGGATCAGCCGCTCAAAGGTCGAATCATTTCTTTGTATACCTGGAGCTGCTTCTGAGCACCATTAGTGATACCGTCTGCAGGCCAGGCAGGTTCCCCCTCAGGAGAGTTCCCTATCTTTGGATTGCTAATGTCTAAGTCACCCTTGACATCTTCTGAAGATGTGGAGGTGCACGAGAAGCAGCTGGAGCACTGAGGTCTGTTGCTAAAAGACCCACCCCAGTGCTTTCCAGTCTTGCTCAGTATTAAACATGAAACAGGACAAAGGTGTATGCAATGATGTCCCACCGGACCTGAGAACTGCCCGACAAAGAGGAAACTATTCCGTTCCAGAGACTTGCTGACTTCTGGCTTGGGACTCTCAGTCTCCATAGAGTTATCTATTCCTGGCTGGAAAATAAAATAAAATAGGGCCACCAGTCTTCCTAATCTGAGCCTCCTGCGCCCAAGCTTTCTAATCATGTCCATATAAAGCTCTCACGGATCCATCATTGTTTCATGCCATCACCCCAATGTTTTCAGGCCTCCTTACTATCTCTAAGCAATATGCCCCCTGTCATGATGATTTGGTTATAGGCCCTGAGTGTGGAGACTGCCACAGTGGACTTCTCCAGTGCTGAGTTGTGGCACACACAAGTCTGTCATGCAAAATCCCCAGGAGGTTTTAGAACTTGTGGGAACTATAAGCTTGCTCTGTGTGTAGGACTGACTCCCTTCATACATCTATGAAGAGACACATACATGAATGTGTTGTGTGTAGGCTCATGCCATACAGTGTGCATGTGGAGGTCAGAAGAAAACTTCTGAGGGTTGGTTCTCTCTGGTATGGGACTTGAGTGATACAGGATGTCAGGCTTAGCAGCAACCATCTTTACCCAGTGAGCCATTTCCCCAGCTCCTTGGTTGCCTGGCTTACATCGTGGAAGTCTTTGGCTCCCTTCCTCCCACTGGAGAGCATGGTGAGCTGGCTCCTCTTCTTTTTGCTGCTTGGCATTTGTATTCTCTCTAGGCTTTGCAGATGCCTCTAAATTCCTTGTGCATTCTCATGCCCTTCTATGTTTTCCCTCTTTGTGGAAGGTTTATTTTTCATCTGACTTTTCACAATCCTGCCATCACATGGAGACTGTTTTTAATCTTTCATCTTGTCACACCTCTCACATAGCCCCCAGAAAAAGTAGTATTAAAAAAATAATTTCATCACAGGAAGGCAGGTCAGTGTGGGTAATGTCTTCTGCCACAGATGTAGCTTCTTACAACTTAAGTATAGAGAATGTTTTACTTCCCCCAAGAAATATGAAGAGGGACGTTGAGTTGAACTGTGCTGGAATTCTATACGTTATCACAGTTAAATTCCTACTTTATGCATGTAGAAGCCAATACTTCACCATTCTGAGTAAGGGGAATGGATGTTTCTGACTCCAAATTTGGAGAATACACAGAGTGGCCTGTACACTGATAAACTTCTTTACCTTTAACCTTCAGCATCTCTCTGCTGAACTTTTCTGCGATGTCTCCATATAATGCAGATAGGACAGGCTTAGAAGTTGACCTTTCATTAGACATGAAACTTAGAACAACGACAGCAACAGTAACCACAAAAGCTTCTCAGCTGTGTTCTTGAATGTCACCCAGAAACAGAAACCCACGCAGCCAAGTTTCCCCAGATCTTTGTTACATCTTCCGATGTTGCTAAGATATTAGTTTATCAACATGCTGAGCTTTTGCTACTGCTGTGTGACCAGGGAACACTGCAAGAAAACTACCCTGGGTATGAACATTAGCTTTTAAAACAAGGAACCACAATACAAGGTAAGTTGCTCTTAAGTAAATCTGTCTTTTGGTTTTAGATTTCAGTTAACTTAGAGGTTGTTTTCTCTGTGCATTCTCCAAGTATTTTTAATCAAACTTTATCCTGTGTAGAGCACTTGAATGGGTAAGATGGATTTCTTCAGCAATAGCCCAAGAAAAGGCATACGTGAACTGTGTGCTCACATACCACAAGAAACATCATCAGTCATTTCTTCGCACTATTTGAAGATAGAAGGAATCCTTCTAGCTTTGAAGAATATTTATTCTTTGCTCCAAAGACCTGAAAAATGGGAGGAGGGATGTTGAAATTATTTGAGCGAAGGAAAGAGTGTAAGTTTCAGTCAGAGAGAACAAGCAAAGAGTATGTCTTAATTATTACGAATCCCTGGGTATCCACTAAAAAAAAAAAAAAACAAAAAGCAGTATTAAATAAAATATTCATTGCTTCATTTATAAGCTTATATCATGGAAATAGAACACAAAGAGATGCTGAGAGATGTGTCTACAATAAATTTCAGCTGTAGAAGATCCCCAGGGTTAGATCTCATATCTGAATCCTCAAATGTATTGAGATTTTTTTTTTTTTTTTAGACAGGGTCATGGATCTCTCTATGGAGACTAGGCTGCTCTCAAACTCACAGAGATCTGCCTGCCTCTGCCTCCTAGATGCTAGAATTAAAGGCATGTGCCACCATGCCCAGCTACTGAAATCTTTTTAAGAATGTATATGTTAGGCACTTGTGTGTGTGCATCTATGAACATTTGCTGGGGGGGGTGTAGAAAGAGAAGAAGCAGGCACAAACTCAGAGCTTTATACTCAGGCCCTCAATGAATTAAACAAACGATGAAGCAGGCATAATGGCTATCATTATGTAGATGAGAGGAGGGAGGCTAGCAAGGGAAGAAACTCAGGTCTATTGATTCTAAATCCATGTGGCCACTATTCCAGATTCTCTTCTCTAGTTAGTTTGTGATATAGGTATTGATAATAGTTTGTTATATCTAGAGAGTTTGTTGCTACACTTGATTTGTCTTTTTTTTTTCTTCCTGTTATTTGTAGTTTGTACTGCTGGAAAGGGCAGAGGCATGAGCAGAGAGGAAAATGCTCAGAGTTGCCTCTGAAACCCTAACCAATACACCCATTCCTCTCAGACTGTTAGGTTTTCCTTGTTGGATAAACCTGAGATTCTAAACCCTAATGCACTGAGAAATGAGATGTCACCACTATAGGGAAGTCCTCTGTTCTTACCTTTGTCAGACAGGGGAGAGAAACAAGAGTGAGCCTAACAGTTTATTTTTTATCAGAGTGCTATGAAATCACAGATATAAACATGCAAGAAATGGATATCCCTTGTGGCTATTAGTAGTTGTATTTTAGAAAATATTTAACAACCTAGGAAGGTTCATAACATCTGTATTGTGATCACTATTTCCTAAAATCAAATACAATACTTCCTAACTAAATAAATAACAACTAATCAAATGCCAACAGAATTTAAAGATGATAATCTGTTTTTAAAAAACAGTTGTTTGTTTCTTTGTTTATTATGTATAGGAGCACTCTATTTGCATGTGTGCCTGCACGGCAGAAGAGGGCATCAGATCCCCTTATAGGTGGTTGTGAGTCAGTATGTGGGTGCTGGGAATTGAACTCAGGACATCTGGAATAGCTTCCACTGCTCTTAACTCTGAGCCAGCTTTCCAGCCCTGCTTAATCTTATTTTTTTTTCTCCAATTTGAATCTTTCAAATTCCCAAAGATATAAACATTTCTTTTAGAATCAGGCAAGATAACAGCACTATTTAAAACTATAAAGAAGTAACTGCTGTAGCCTGGATTGTCTCTACAAGCAACCTACTGTGAACACAGTGGAGTAGAAAGACAAGGGCAGAAGGATGATGCCTTCTGCTGTAAGAAAGGAGGGTTAGGAAAAGATGGGGAACTTAGAGAAAAGCAGAGATCTACTTACTTGGAAATAGGAGAAAATAATTACTTATTTTCTTACTGTCTTAGGCCCATCCCCAAAGCTGGTTAAACAAAATGAAAACTGATTCTGTATTTGTTATCCCTTGGAGGTACAAAATGAGGAGAAAGTTGAAGAAGCCGTACAAGCCTCAGAGTTTTTCACAGATTCCCCGAATTCGAGTCCCTGCTTCTGCCACGGGCAGTTCATTACTGAAGGTACGACATCTTATTCAAAGAGGGAAGGCTTGCCTTCTTTCTTTGGAGGGTTGAGGACCTTTTTCTCCTGTCTGTGTGTGTGTGGGGGGGGTGTCGTTTGGCTGACGTAAGGCTGAAGGAGGGAATAAGGCAGCAGTGGCACAGCCTAACCCTGAGCACTCCCAATGGTCAGTGTGAGAAACAGTCTTCTCCTGTCGCTGATCCACCACCATGGGAAATCACTAGCTGGCAGCATCAACATCGTGGCTTCCTGCTTGATCTGTCAGCTTCTTTCCCACCGAGCTAATTATAGCCACCCACATAAACACTCTGTAAAAATATCATTTTCTTTCATCTCTTTCAAGAAAGGTAGGGGACAGTGTAAGAATATGAGAAATGTAACCGGCTATTTACTTCTCATTTAGGATGTTTAAAGTTTTACACAGGTGAGGAGGTGGGCATAGTTTTTTCTTGATAAAATAGAAACTATAACTTTCAAGACTTTTTTTTCCAATGTAAGGGAAATTCTCTTTCTATTGGGGAGTTCTTCTCTTGAAATGAGCTAGAAAATTTTCTATTATCTTGTCTGTAAGTGTGTGACTGGCTTAATTAGTTACTCAGGAATGAAATCCTTTCTCTTCTTCAAATATATTATCCCCGAGCATACATAATACAGAAACTGAGAGTGAGTTGATGTCTTGCATTGTGAGGCTCTTGGCCTTGTTACTCTTACTCTGAGTATACTTTTAATATCAAATTTAAGGGCTCCAGACAAAAAAACAATTTGTCTCACAGATTTCTGATTTTAGTCCCTCATAGAATGCCTAACAAGTAAAAGTCACCTTAACCTACAGTTTCACCTAATAGCATAAGTGCAGTTTTCCTCCATGGTTTCCACCTGAAGTTTCTGTTGTCTTGGTATTTCATATTCAAGACAAACTTATTTTAACCTGATTTTTCTAGAATGCTGGTGCCATTATCAAAGTATCCCCACTTATTTTTGAGACAGGATGTCACATAGCCCAGGCTGACCTTCAGCTTACTATGTAGGTGAGGATGACTTTGAACTGATCTTTCTATCTCTGCCTCTACACCCTTCTCTTTGAAACAGGGTCTCACTGTGTAGTTCTCTACTCTTTCACTTGATTCTTAGCACATTGCCCATTTGATCTGTCTATCTCTATTCCTTACTGGAATTTTCCGCTGGACATCCCAGCTGCCTGGAAGCCTCCATAAATTCAGGCCCTATGTAGATTCCCACAATTTATTTTTCTCAACTAAGGACCAATAAAATCGTCATAAGTCAGCAGCCTTTACATTTCCCCCAGCATAAAAGTATGAGCTACATAACCTTGTACCTTTTCCTTCCCTGTTTTCAACATCATCCAAACAAGGAGAAGATGGTTTACACAAATGGTGAAGATAAATTTCTTGATTATTCATGTCCCAGGTGCTTTAAAAATACGTGTCACCTTAAGAGAAGTGGCTTACTCCTGTGGACACTGGTACTGAATGTGTCATACTTTCAATTACGAAGGGATTTATCAAAGTCACGTTTTTGTTCTGACAGGACCTAAATCAAGGGCAGCAGTGCTACTTGTACAGCATCATGAGGATTTACGACTCCAGGCCCCAGTGGAAGGCCTTACAGACCCGCTATATTCACAGCCTTGGGTACCAATATCAGCTGGGTGAGTTTAACTACCTTACCTGAACCAGGCACATCAGTACAGGACTACTCATTACAGCCAGAAGTCACATCTCCAGATAAATAATTCCAGAAGAATGGGCTCTGCCAACCTAGTGTATCAACATGGTTGGCTAGCCAAGTTTAAAAATGATTATCCCTGATAATAGACAGTGAAGTTTTATAGGTGAATTAAGAGGGTTTAAAGAAATTAGAGTATTGATTCTTATAAAATGTTAACAACTCTCTGAGATTTATATGAACTTGATCTGGTAGATCAATAGCACTGGACTTGGAAAGCCAACATAAGCTCAAACAATGGCTCCTCTCCTTACTGTTTGTGTAAGATCAAAGGCAGTTTACTCCCAACAATAAGAGCTACATTGTTTGAGCATTTGGCATAGTCCATACCTCCTGCCTAGGGCATTATGTGCAATATCCCACTTTCTTTCCACTTTATAGTTATGGAACCAAAATCCTAGAAAAATTATGTACTTTGGTGAAGACTACTCAGCCAGTCATTATCAGTGAGAACTTCATGCAAGAGGAGGCTTCTCCAAAGACCATGGCTTCTATCTACTCATGAGTTGCTCTTTCCCCTTTTCTACCAAATCTATTCATATTTTATAAAGCACAGATGAAACCATGGTTTCAAAAGATATAAACGCATCATGAGCACCAACCTGCTGGAAGGCTTCATTGTTGTTAAGTCCTCTAGCTTACAGGAACCTCTCTAGCTGCTCGCCCCTCTACTGCCCAATCCGCCCAAATCAGGCAGAAAAATGAAACCTAGACAAGTTAAATAATTTGACCAGGGCTGTACAACTAGTAAACAAAGACATAGGATTTGGAGATTACTGAAGATTGCCTGGAATGTGGTGGAAGCACCATCTGGTGGTTGTTTTCAGAGCCCGATGCCAAAGAAGCCAACAAACTAAAATGCAGAGGCATTTACTGGTGTTCACAAAAGCTAATGGCCACCTTACTAAAATGCATATTCCCAGGCCTGTCTCTCTGGGATCCGATTTAGAAGGTCTTTGAAGAGAGTAGAGCTCTGAATTATAATGGGTATTTTTAAAAAAAAAAAGTACATAGATTCAGAAAATCTAGTAGATACTATAAAGACTTCCTCCTGTTTCTCTTTTCATTTCTTCTGGCTCTGCAGCCCTTGGGATAGCGCCACCCACACTCAGGAAAGGTCTTCCCCAGCTAGTCTTCTCTAGAAGTACCTTCACACAAGTGTCCACAAGGTGGGCCTCAACAATCTTTAGGTTATCACTAAGGTCATTTAAGTTGAGAGAGAGGATTAACTAACATGTTCATTGAAGGAAAGTACCATGAACCAAGAAATAAACGCTTCCTGTCCTCGGTGGTAGTATAACCAGGGCATGCTGATCGCCGACGTAGAACTTTGTACACTTCTGTGAATATCCTTTTCCTGTAAAACTGTTGCAATGAAGAGATGGCTTGATGGCTAAGAGCAACTTGCTGCTTTTGCAAAGAACCTGAGTTCAGTTCCCAGCACCCACTTGGCTCAGAACCACCTAGAACGGCAGCTCTACGAGTTCCGTCACCCTCCTCTGGGAACAGTGGGCACATGTGTGGTACACATACACACATTCAGGCAAAACACTAGATAGAGCTTTCAAACATAAATGCTGACACTGAAATCCCTTTCCTCTCTCTCCCCAGGTTACATCACTCAACAGGAGGCCCTGTCTTGTGCTGCCGCTCTTGGACAGTCCACCATGCGAGCCTCAGGCGTGGAAGCTCCTCGAAGGACCATTCCCCCAAAGTCTTCAGCCATTCAAAGAGAGAGTCAACAAGCAAAACCAGGGTTTCAAGTTGGACCCAGGGACCCCTGCACAGCACACAGAGCATCAAGACCCAAGATTAAGCATACTCTCTGAAATGGGCAGCTCATCTGTGTATTCTTGGCATTTTAGTGGAACAAACACTTTTAGTGGAATGTGTTTGTTGAGTGACAATGAATAAAAGAATACTAATACAAACTCTAGACTCATAAATCATCCCTCCTTCACATAAATGGTCCAAATGAGAATGAGTTGGAAGGAAGTTTTGAAAGCTATTGAGCAGAGAATAAGGAAGCTTTTACCACATATAATCTGTAAAATGAAGGGACTGTCACAGCTTTCAAAGTAAAAGCTTCTTGTGAGTTCCAGTCTCCCAGGGAAATCTGCAGAACAGTGGAAGGGGACAAATGCCAGCACCTCTATCCCTGGGGACCATTGCACATCTGAAAATCCACAACCCCACACAGTCAATATGGATTATGGAAGAGTTACAGTATTAGTGAACAGTGACATATACTTCTTCCTCTTCCCATTCGCTCGAAGCAAAAATAGTCACCTTGGTCCTGCAGTTTCTGGTCCTAGCCTGACTCAATCTCTCTGTGTCATTTTGAAATTTGTGCTTATCAGCCTGTTATTGCCAGGCTGATTCTATAGCGCTGTAACTGGCCTTGACACCGCTAAGATAATTCATGCACACACCTGCCCCTGACCCTCACAAACACTCTCCGCAGGACAGAAAATAGTGCTGAAAAACTGATCTTAAGTCTTATCTCTAAAGATCTGAAGAATGCATACAAGACCATGCAAATGAGTCAATAATGAGATAATGGCCAGGCAGGGTTCTCTACCAATGGCACAGTGTCTTATTAGTTATGTTTACCAGTGACTGCCTTTACTAATGCTTCTCCTGCGTGTGCCAAAAAGCAGTGAGCCCATGCAGTCAAACTAAAAAATGCTCACTTCCTTATCTTTGGTTTTTTGTTTTGTTTTGTTTTTTTTAATGTAATTCATGTCAGCCAATGGCTGTCACCACATGAAGAAATTAGTTGAGCTAGAACTCAGTTGACAAGGGACATGGAATTCAAATATTCATCTGAAAGAAAGCTGTTACAACACTACCAGAAAATGCCCCCCCCCTTTTCCAACCAAAACCAAAAAGAATAAAAACCAAACCTCCCTCACTGATGAGTAATTGTCTCCTCTCTGCAGCCCTTGGCATTAAAGTTATGAACTCTGTCAAAAGCTTCAGAAGACCCTCATTGGAGGGTCTATAATTCTACCTGACTTTTTTGTCGGGGGGGTGCAAGGGGCATGGTTGTCCCGCCAGTCTGACAGGAAGTCCTGGAAGAGCAGAGCCAACCTCTGACCCTATGGAGACTATCCTGCTGTGGTTTACACTGTCCATCTCCAACATGGGGAGACTAAGGGACCATTTGCCTAATCATGAAGAAGCTTCTTGACAATAGCAAATCCTGCACTGACTCAAGAACTCCAAGTAGATTACACTGTTAAATTGGGGGTTATTAGCCAGCTTTAAAAAAAATCAAATAGAACTGGAGTGAACGGCCAGTTAGCCCTCAAAAGCTGTAGAGGATGGTGGCATCCCTCACAGTCTATATGAACTGTTTCCATATGAGCCTTTATCTTTGCCAACTGCTGATGTGCACTTTATGCTGGACTTTTGTAATTTGATTGGCCTAGATACCTGCTGAGTAAGCGTTAGCTCCTGGTACAGAATAACAAGAATAACAAGCAGTTAGGAGTTGTGCTGCAACCTTGCATTCAAAAAAAAAAAAAAAAAAATCTCAGAAACATTTGTTTTGACAGAGGCTTTTCCAGTCCTATGGGCAGTTGAATGTCATAGACCCATAAGAAAGAAGGACAAATGGGTTTAATAGTTGTAAATCAGTGAGGGAGCCCTTCTTGTTGGTCCTCCCTTCTGAGAAGACAATGCTCCCTCACAGCTAGAGCCCAACTTGAAGCTTGTAAGGATGTGGTAGGTGAAAAAGCTAAGTTAAAAAAAAAAATGATGCTCACTGAAAGAGACCCTGAGAAAGATAATCAAGATGGAAAAAGTGACACATGAAGGTTTTAGGTAACTCTACTGCTCTGACCTGTTGGAGACTATGCTGCTGTGGTCCACAATGGCCATCATCCACACGGGGAGATTAGGGGACTGCTTCACCTAAAATTGCTGGCACCTGAAAGAGGCTCTGACTCTGGTTGTGAATCAATAACGCTTGTTGAACAATATTGAAGTTTTCAGAGAGTCTGCAGTCAGGCTGGCCTCTCGCTTTGTGATGTATCTCAAGGGTCTCAGGTAGCCAATCTACTGGTGAGGGCTTACAATGTTTAGCAGAGGCAAGTGATCAGAACAGTTCATCCCAGGCGCAGGCAATGGTAGGATAGGAAAGGATTTTCAAAAGATAATAAAACCAGAAAAAAAGTTAGTCTGCTTTTTAGGATTGCCACGAGCCAGCAATTCTAAAAATGTCAGGGACAGAAGCGCTCTCCACTCTTTTCTTGATATAAATCCTCAACAACTGCGAAGGGAACTTGAGTTTCTGGGTTTGTTTGTTCGTTTGTTTGTTTTCTTGCTAGTTAATTATTGGTTTTGTCTCTGCTAAAAGTAGTTTGGAAAACTTGTTTGTGGTTCAGATACAGTGGGATTGTACCGGATGGGACCTGGGTTGGGAGTTTCATCCTCAGAGTGGTGGTGGTGGGAGGTGGGGTGGAATTGTTGTGATGGGGAGCCTCACAGGACTTGTGTGCAGTATCGCTCTCAGGGGAACTGATGTGGCTCCTGTGAGACCCCAGGTAGTTCTTATGGAAAGTCTGTCACAGAAAACCCAGCAGTCATGAGATAGTAATGCTGATACTTCCCTGTGCCTCTTGGTAAGTGGCCATTTTGTAAACATTCACGTGTTCTTAGATGATTATACAGTCTTTAATGGATGACTGTGGAGATCAAACTTCATGTCCAATAACCCAAACTTATTAATAATTTTGAAATAAAAGTTTCAATCCCTGAATTACTCAATGGCTTCCTGTTTTGGTTCTCTGTCAGTCTGTCTCTCTCTGTCTTTCTCTCTCTCTCTAGCTACTATGATGCTATATCTAGGATAACCTCTCAAGAACCAAAATGAACACCATTCTGTTTAGAACTGCAGTCTCTAACACTGTGAACTTTAAAAATAATGTATTTTATGGCATTCCCAGCCTCTGATATTTTATTATAGCAACAGAAAACAGGCTAATACAGGTTGCTACTTGACCAGCTCACAATATACACATATCAACTGATGTGTCCCCAACAACTGAATGCCATATCATTTTTCAAAAAGATTATTTTTGTGTATGTGTTTCAGTGCTTTGCCCTCATGTATAATGTATAATTCATGTGTGCTTGGTGCCCAAGATGGCCAGAACAAGGCTTTTGATCTGCTGAAACTTCAGTTACAGATGGTTGTTAGCTGCCAGAGGCTGGGAACTGAATCCCAGGCCTCTGGAAAAGCGGTATACGCATTTAACTGCTGAGCCATCTCTCCAGTCCCAATACTACATGTTCTTGCATTTAAATACCAGGCTTGACCCACTACAATAGTGACAAAAAGCAGAACCTTTTAATCACTTCGCTCTTTTTAATGTAATTTATATGCTACGTATGCACTCCGTTTAAGTTCAGGGTATTTTCACATACCTAACACCACAATCATGACAGAAGGTATTTATATCCTTTCCCTAATTCTCTTCATGTCTCTCTGTAGTCAGTTTCCTCTGCCAAACTATGACCAATGGACATCACAGCTTTTTATTACTGTAGTCTGGTCCTTTCTAGAGTTTTACATCAGTGGGGTTTTTGTCTGGCTTTTCCTGCCTAGTTTATGCTTCTGTTAAGATTTATCACATTACACACTTTATTTCTTTTTCCTTTTCATTGTCTGTTGCATACATGTGCCACAATCTAAGCATTCACTCACTTGTTAACGGATGCTTGGAGTGTTTCTAGTTTTTTTTTTCTAATGCATTTTAATTGTCTTTATTTAAAAAAGAAACAACACAAAACAAAACAAAAACCTAAACTAGTTATAAAAGCCTTTGTTTCAAATAGACAGTATACAAATGTTTTTTTTCCTTGTTTGTATTTTAAAGATTTAAGAAATTTCTAATGTCATAAATAAATGATTTCTTTCTAAGACTGATTTTTGTAGTTGCAGCATTTAAAAAAAAAAACCTGAGTAAGTGGAAAAGTATATAGAAATTTGACAGTTATGAAAAATGTTTTTCCTTTGTGTAGTGGTTCTTATGTAACAACAAACAAAACTATTACAGGTTATACTTTCTACAATGTGGTAAAAACCTCTGAAAGATGCGCGTCATGAGCCTCCGATTTGAACTCTTTGAACATAAACACCATGGATATTGAATGTAAGTCTTAGAAAAATACCTAGAAGTACAATTGGCTCGTGAGTTATATCTGTATTGCATTGAAATACACGGGAGACTGCCATGGTGTTTTCCAAAGTGGCTGTGCAATCTTGACTCTTACATATGTTAGGCAGTTTCATTTTTGTATTCTAATGGCTATTATTGTCTAGCAGCTTGGGTCTGTGAGAGACACTGCCAATATTTGTGATGGCCCCTTCCTCCGGGACAATCATGACAGACATGGAGGAAGTGATGCTGACCCTCTTGGAGATTTCATGGAAGAAACGGCGAGGCTTATCAGTTCACCCCGAAAGGCAACCCTTCAGTGTGTGTGGAGGAATGGGGACAGAAGCAGCAGGAGGGACTGTCCCTGGACAGAGCCATGGTGCAGCAGCATCATTAATTCCATGTATGCATTGACTCCTCGTCTTTCCTTGTTTACATTGTTCTACATGTTCATCATACCCTAAATCTGTAGCTAACTATCTTTGCATAATAAATTGTTCTCTAAGTGGGTAATTTAAAACTGCATTATTTATTGTCTCACGTTTTGGTTGGGGGGGGACACAGATTTGTACATGGCTTAGCTGGGGCTTCTGGATAAGGGTCCCCCAAAAGGCTGCAACCAAGGTGGGGTGAGGCTGTGATCTCTAAACATTCATTCAGGGAAGGACCCACAACCAGGCTCACTCATGTGGTTGTGACACAATTTTGTGCCTTGGGATCTACTGCTAGAGCCTGGCTTCTTACTGGCCAGCAATATC